GTCGCTCGTTGTGGGAGCGATTGCTGCATCCACGGGTTCTCTGCCAGTCGAGACAGAGTGGCTGGTTGTTGGAACGTAGTAACAGCTGTTTGTTGACTCTGTTGGCGAGCGCAGGGTGGGATTTGTTCCAGAGACGCTCGGCTGTGCATTCAATGAAGCTGTGCGTGTGACTCCCCAGACAAATGGCGCACACAGCGGGGGAGAGCTGTCCATGTACGCCGTCCTGAAAACCCGTGCGACGACTGGCAGCAGGAGGATCTCGAGAGGACTGAGGTCATGTAGACCATCCAGGTGATGCTGAGTGCCTACGATCTGGATTGTGCTGCGACCTAGAAGGTCCCGGAGAGCAACCTGAACGCTTTGAACGTTGGCCCAGGGTAAAGGTGTTGTCACTCATCCTCGAACCTTGTGAACGCTGAAACAAAACAACGCAGATGTAGGCCAGTCGCGGACGCAAAGACGCAAACGCAAACACAATAATCGCAAGGTGAACACAAACACCAGAAACGCAAGGCAAACGCAAATGCAAACACAAACACAAACACAAACACATGGGGCAAACGCAGATGAGACAAGGTTGAACACATGTAAAGAAAGGAGCGATACAAAGTCAGTGAAGTGAAATTTGATATTGTAAGGATTAGGCTAACCTGGTAGTCAAAGTCACGATCCTTGCGCCTTCTGTCTTCATGATAGAGACGGTCCAAAGTGCGAGTAATCTCAGCATCATCGAGTATGGAAATGTCCCAAGCACCCCCTGGCAGGGGAATAGCTTGATGCCAGGCACATCTTTGTTCCTCTTGATACATCAACAGAGCACGCTTATCCAGAGGGTTGTCTGAACTCCAGTAGTGGTGCAACATGAGTGCTCCCCAAAATCCCGCTAGCATATGTACTCTATCATGTCCCCAACCTCGTTCGGTTAACGAAGCGACAAGACGAGGAATGGCTTGTGCGAACTCGAGAGCATCTAAGTTGCTATCGGGTACCACCGTTGTTGAAGGCTGCATCGCGTTGGCCGCTATCCAAGTGGTAGAGCCATCTGCTGTTTTGTGGGGCACCATCCCCTCGTCATCCATAGCACGATAGATCAAACGCGCATCTGCTATACCCTTGTTCGTCCAGTTGTAAATTTCTACATAATGCCCTTTTTCGAGCTTCCGAAGTGCGAAATCCGATACAAGAATGTTTTCAGTGGTACGAGAAGGACGAGGACGTTTAGGAATGGGAATATGTTTGAGTCTGTTCTTTTTCTTTTCTTCTTCATCAAATGCGTCGTCTGCGAGGTGTTGAGCCTGAATTTTTTGATCGTGGTCTTCGTCGAGTAAACATTGTTTGTCTGCGGCTTCAACGTGGTCTGCAGCCACTTGATCCTGCCACTGAACACGCTGTGCTGCATTGGTAGCTACTAGTGTGGTGGGCAGAACTACTTGAGAATAGTAGTGCCGGCAGAACCGGCAGAACAACCAGTTCTGCCGGTTGGCATAACTCTAGCGGTGAAAATTTTGTATCTACAACATCAATGACAGTCCTACTGAAGACATCAACGACGCCTCGTCCCATCCATCATCCTCACCATCATGGTCCACAACATTCACCTCATCTACAGCAGCCTGTGGTACTAACCCTCGGTCAACCCTCTCCAATTCGACAAAATCAAAGGCCCTCCCTTCAAGAACTTCTGTGTCGTCAATACTCACAACTTCTTCTAGGTTCTCCTGTACTTCGAGAGCATCAAATGCTTCAGCGATTTCGTCGGCTGATATGGTCTAAGTGGGTAGTCTACATATCCATCCAATGTCGAAATCTTCTTCCGCTTCTTGATCACACCACCAGAACTAGACGAAGCAGCTGGTGAGATAACTTGACCACCATCGTCACCTGTCTTGTTCATAATAAATGTCCGGGCTTTTCGGCGAAGCTCAGGAGCAGCATCCTTGCAGTGGCGGATGATATGGTTAGGCAGACTATTGTCGCAACCTTGGATTTTGGCGCCAGGGGAATTGTCGAGATTACCACAGTGCTTGCATTTCCAGAAGTAACGGCCAGAACTGTTTGCAACTTTGTCGAGACGCTCAAAGTTGTCGTTGATTAGGGATGGCACTGGGCGGCCACCAGCATGGACCATATTTTGGGACGAAGGATCAGCCAAGAGGCATATGTGACTCGTTTCACTTTTTTTTAAGGTACACATATTGTACAGATTATTATGGACTAGTGCTCTACCAACCCTGAGTTCCGCCAAGTTCTGCCAGCACTTTTTCACGGAGTTCTGCCATCTGCCAGGCACAACCAGTTCTGCCAAACCGGTTGGCAGAACTCGTCAGTTCTGCCCACAACACTAGTAGCTACCCAAACTGCTTGCAATAGTTCAGCGGCTTGTTCTTCAGTGTTATTTAATGCTACAAGCGGCATGCAACTTGTTTGATAAAAAGCTAACATAAAGTCTGGACACTCATCCATATGCGGGTCAGATAAAAGACGATTCATTGTAGGTAGACTTAAGAATTTGTTTTAAAACAATCTTTGATTGAGCAAGCTGCTAGTTGTGCAACAGGACTCGAGCAGCACCAGCAGAAATTTTGACGAGCGGTGAGAGTGAGGAAAAGAGAGAATGCGTGCCTTGCTTGTTCGCGTTAGGCATAGACCTCATTCTAAGCATGTGCTTGTGCCTCGTACTTACTTAGAACACAACCTCCAGCTAAAACCTGTCCGGCGCAAAGTACAGCGCTATGGCAGATATATCCGTAGTCCGGCGGCAAGAAACAGCCAGGTAGCAGACTTTCAAAACACCCTAGGTACGTCTAATAGTACATGTTAATCTTATCACTCCTTATTATTTTCGTATGGACCTCATATGAGTCTCAGCTACCGCTCCCCAATAGTTACTGTCCAGAGCCCCAGTGGGTGTGGGCTACCTCTACCAGTAAAGTTCAAGCAGGGCGGTATCAAAGGAGAGGGTGGGTCGCTAGTAATCACTCATGGCTAGCTACTAGGGCTTTGGATATGGTGGGCAGTGTGATTGAAGCAACATGGTATTGTCATGTAAATAGTTGATAAAGAATATATTGTTAGTTAGGAAGCATTGAAGTGAGCTGGAGGTATCGGGTATTGGTGCTGTAGTTGAATGTCGAGGGTGTTTTTAATGTCCGACGTGCCATCTGTTAGCTACCAGCTTTGCTGCAGTTCTTGCCGCAGTGCACCCCGGACTTTTATGCACCGGAGGGGTGGTTTCAGGGATGTTCTCCAAGAGGCGTGCAAAAGGGAAATGCCAAACATACAGCCCACCATTAGATAAGCTTTTAAACCTTAATACACAGCCGCTTGAAGTTGCCAGCAGACCATTCTGAGTTCCTCGATAGCGGCATCAGAAGTTAGTAGAATCGTTCACTGAAGACCAAGAGGAGGGAGTTTTTGCTAGCGTAGAACACATCTTGATAGTTAAATTAATGAAAAATGCGTGTTAAAGGGCGCTGCTTACTAAAATCCAGTATTTTGGATGTCATGTGTGAGAGCATGTGACTTCAATATCAAGTCGTGTCTGATATCAATAATGCGCATCTTATTACAACTCTTATGCCCTCTCTGTCCTGTTGGCCCACAAACTCTCATTTGCAAAGACACACTTTTATTCATTATGTATTCTAACACTCGTCCATCGCATGCAGGCCGGTTCCCATTAATTTACGACACTTCAGCTCCCAGCATCAGTAACAACTCACACGAAATTTCACAACACGAATCAGATTACACGTCTCATAGCATTAATAATTCTGATTCATCTGGACATTTTCCTACAAGCCTGCAAAATGTACTCGCATTGTTTGTGCTTTACTTCAGCAGCCTACTAGTACCGCCTCACTTGCTTGATGTTCTCTTCATTCGCATTCATTTTGTATCACTACTTTCTCATATTGCTCATTATGCCTCTATTGCTTCAGAACAAATGCTCTCTATTAGTTCATACATACTCTACAGTGTGCACCGGAAGCTACAGTAGTTCTCATTGTCGTGTACTCGCGCCGTTCCCTTGCAATCAATCATTAACATTAATATTGTTTTTGTCTTGTGTGTCTGGATGAAAATGATCGAACGGTCACCATATATGGATATATTGATGTTACTGTCACTGTGACAGAGGGGTGGGGGGGGGCTTCCGAAGTTGCAAGAGGTGTATATCCTATATTGCAAATTTGCACACCTCTTGCTCACACCTGAGACACAGCCGGAAAAGTTCTGTAAAAAGATGTAATACATATCTCAAGAAAAATCGTGCATATTTCAACCTATTTAGCTATTGTGCGGATGATGAACAGTTTCTGGATAAAATTACAAAAGTGTATAAGGATCAAATTCTATTGATCAAATGCAGAGTAAGTTTGGCGAAAATAGGGAGAATTTGTTTTGTAATCTGCATATTAACTTCATTTCCCAAATTTAGTTACAAATATTGAAAAACCTCCAATGATACAATTGTTCATACATATTTCATGTGACATTTCCAAGGCCATATGGAGGATTAAGTCACATGTCAAACTTAAGGTCTGCCTAACCAATAGGCCTGAAAACAAATTTTAAAAATTCTCATTATCTGTCTATGTGATAAATTTATTTATGATTTGTAGATATGTCAAATATATGTATGAGTGGCCCTCTGAGTACCCCTATGAGAGGTTCACTCAAATTAACAGGGGGACCGCTCCCCAGTTCGTGGTTCAATGGCCACAGTACAGTACAAGTATTCAACAGTTTACATAGTTGTGCATGCTGTGATACCTATACGAAAATCTGACATTAGACTGAGGAGGGGCGAGGGACGTGATGCCCGACGATGAGTGTGACACTGCGTGTCACAAAGTGACTTCAGATTCATTCGTTGAAAGCATCTTGCTGACTTCAGAGTCAGCATAATCAAACATGTTTATCTTACCACAACAATCTCAGCATAATCAAACTTGTTCATCTTACCGCAACAATCTCACAACAATCTTACCACAATTATGGCTGAGGCACACGAAAATGTAAGTCGTCAGTGGACTGGTCAGATGCAAGAACTGATGTGTTTCTGCAGGAAGTTGTCATTAATCAAGACAATAATGTAAGTTCTACCGCAGTGTAAGTGAGTAAACTAACGATACAGCATTAGTTTTTCCATGGGGAGGTTGGGGAGGTGGAAGAGCAGGCTGGGGCTGAGGCGCAAGGTGGAGCTGAGGCGTAGGGTGGGGCAGAGGCACAGGCTAGGGTAGAGGAGCAGGCTGAAGACCTCGAGCATGCCGAGACCTTTGCAGTAACACAATCCATGATAGTAAGTCCACTGTTGCTCATCTGCATTAGCAAATTCTGATATATCTAGGCGTTATGGGACTATGCACAGGAGATCACAGAGGACAATATGGAATTCACGCAAGCTCATCCGCAGGTGCCACACCCCATTCACCCACCCATCCAGATGTTGTGCCGTAACAAATGCCTCCTTGTATTGATGGTGGAGGATAGGTGCGAGGCAGTGATTCAGCTATGGGAGGAATTAAATGAGATCGAGCACCTGTTGGGGTTAGAGAACATTTAGGAAGGAAGAGCCGGGGACAAAGAGAACGGAGTGATATAGATATCCATTGCTTACTTGCCTTATGATTTACAGACCAATTTGTGATTTTTTGTTCTGGAATACCATCTACAGAGGGGAGGAGGGTGTTGTATTTTCAAAAATTGAAAAAATTTAAATAGAGCTGCACTAAACTAGTATTGGGTACCAGTATATCAATAGCGTCTTAGTACAAAGCTGGAGCATGGGAAACCAGACTCCTTGAGTGGCTTCAGCAAGAGAGCGAGAATGATGGCAGGAGGTCCGGGGAGGCGAGATTTCAGTAGTGCAGTGATACAGTCACTGGCTTCCTTGTATTCGGAACATCCTCTGATGCAGGCTGTTACCGAGCAGTTTAGTTCTGCATCAAAATACTAGAAGGTGAACTCACTAGGTGGTGAGTCCTGACATTAATCCAAGTCACCAGATCCTGTTGAGTAATATTTTGCAACAGGAGCCCCTGAAAGGTTGCACATTCAATGTAATGTATTGTGCACATTATAAACGGGAGAGTATCCTGGATGGATTGTGTATCCTCTAGGAATTCCCCACTAAAAACCTTGAAGTTGATGACATGATCATGGAGGCTTCCATCTGGTTATTTACATCAGCAATATATATCTACATCGAAAGTACTGGGAGACAGCATACAAGTGGTGTTCCAGATTTTGTTCCCATAAGCTCTTTGCTCATCATCCCAGAATCCTGATAAAAGGTATCCGGATGCTGATACACAAACCTTGATAGTTCCATCGATGTGAAAAATATATTCAAACTTAAGAGAGGGTCTCGCATGTAAGTATACGATCACTAACCGAGCGACAAGCACTTACCACTAAAAAAAGTTTAGACAATAGCCGAATCTTGGAAGTTGGAAGACGGAAGCTGATCACATTACTCACAGTAATCATAGCTAAATGCAATATGATGAGTGCATACATTCCAGAGAAGCTTTATTGTAAGACCACTTACTTTCCAACGGTGGCAATACTCTTAATGACCAGCTGGTAACCCTTGACTGCACCAAATTCATTTCACTCAAAGCCAAGATGTCTTGATATAGGACATCCACTAGCCTGCTCAAAGATACATATTGCCCGCTGCCTGGTCATCATCCCTGTCGCAGAAAAAGTTGTAACTGGGAGGTAAATCACCTCATTCAGGCAATCATATCCTGGAAGCAGGTCACAAACCAATTGCCCCATGCCAAAGTACGAATCTAGAAGCACAGTGCTCGACTTATAGGGATTGTTTCCAGCTGTGTTACAAAGGTCACTTGAATTCTCTTTGATTGCTATTCAAAAACTTACTGTATTGTGCAAATACCTCTTGAGGCTTGAGCTAGTTTAAATATTAGTCAGGTAGCTAAGATCCAGTAGACAATGAACAAATACCTCATAGATGATCCACTTGTCTCAGAAGCGTATATCCCACAAGTTTAGTCCCATGTTGCAATCAAAACTCAGGTAAAGTCCCCACCCCATCCAACTGACATATTGCAATAATCAATCTTAAATCACAGCCCTGCAAAAAATATGGAACAAGGCCCTGGAAGGTTGTCAAGGTTGCACAAGGCACCAATACGTTCTCGTGTACTCCAAGAAAGGTCTTGCAAGGAATGTGCTCGAGAATACCATTATGAAACACATCCATGAATGATTCTGCTGTGTCAAATACTTGATGATTGGACACAATCTAATGGATGTGGGTTTAGCACGAGAACGTTCACTAAAACCGGAAGGATGTTTACCTTCAGCTGGTCCCACTTCGAAGGATCAGTACTACTGACATTGATATATTGCCAAGATTCAGTGGATGCAACCAAAATCCAGGTGTGTCTCTTTGCCAGTTTAACCAGAAGCATCTAAACGATTGGTCGAAATTAAACGGCCCAGCGCCTCCAGCAACAATAGGACTCTCATTGGGTAAACTGCATAGAAGTTCCTGAGAAAGTATAAGGAAGAATAGGTAAGCCAGATCATCATTGCAACTCGCCTTGTACGCACATCAATGGAGCTGCTCATTAGAACAAGATCACAATAAGACAGGTAGAATAAAAAAATGCACCGAGAGTCTAATTCATTAATTTTTGTGCAGCTGAACCCTAAATCTAGATCCAGGCGGGTAGATGAGAGCAATAGGGGCAAGGGATGTGATGCCTGAGGCACTCGCAGATACTTTATGAGGCCAGGAGCAATCATCAAATGTCAGTCTGCATGACGATTTGACATGAGCTATTATAACACCATGACCGAACGGAATAACTTACTCGACAGCTCAACAGTGTGCATGTGTGAGGTAGACCTAAGTCTCCTTCAAGACTTGGGCAGTATTTTGTGATACACTGGGAGACTATAACTGCTACAATATATGTTTAGGGCCGGATTAATGCATTTCTCTGCCAAAAGTTGGTCAAATCCCATTTTTTTGACGATGACACGATAAAACCCACTACCGTAGTGGGAAGTCTATAGTCTACTGCAGTTCAAGTTACATAACAGTATGATGTTGCATATATATAATAGGGGAAAGAAAGAAAGTCGAACAAGAGCTTCAGGACCCTAAGTAGTGAATTCCAAGTCAGTTGAAACTCTGACCGAATTATCCGGCAGCCACTCAAACGCTCAGAGTCAGAACCGCTCAGCTGCTTCAGCAATATCCAGTGGAGTCTAATCCTTCCACTCACTACTTAAGCCCAAACCTTGTCCTAAATGTCTCCCTTTTCACCATCATCATTTGATTTAATTTAGTTGTTCAGTTGGTGTAGTCGTTATTGTTACTATTGTCTTAGTACTTATTGCATGAAAACAACAAGACTTGTCCGTAGTCATTAATTTTGCATAGCAGTCATTCATTTTGCTCAATAACACAAGAGTAACAGCTAAAATTGTGTACATGTGAGTACAAGGTAGTCACTGCAATGAACTAACAACTCATCCCACCAGCCTGACTAAGTTACTCAAGCAATATGGACTATGTTCTAAATGACATTATTGTACACTGGCATTGTCGGTGTTAATGTATCCTCTGCTCGTCAAAAGCAGTGCATAAGGGCCGTTTGAAGTAAGTGGAGTGTCGCGCAAGTCCTGAAATACAATGTCATTGATGCTCAACCTTTGCAGTACATCTGTGCCACAGATGCTAATTCCCTGGAGTTCTCAAGGATTCCATCTCCATTACTCCTATCTCAAGCAAGGCATGATCAGCCTCAGATGATGCATTACCAAAGTCCTACGAGGTAAGTTAGTACGGAAAAGCCCATGAATCAGCCAATCATACTCATGCGGTCCATTGGCTTTAGTACCAATTCAGATGTTCCCCAAGGCATCAACACAGCGTGACAAAGTTTACTTGTGCACACCAGAACAATATCCAGTTGACTACTATGAGTGAGCTTCCAAATTTGTGCGCCAAAGTCGCTGTAAGGTAGAAAGGGGTCCTTGTATCTCACAGGCACTGGTAAGTAACCTCGGATTGTGATGAAGTAGACCCAATCGTGATCTTGCCCTACAGAGAATATGTGTTTAATGACACCAGGCATACATTTTTTTGATGTATTCTGAAAGAACACACAACTATCTGGAGCGGAATAGTTGCAACTGGAATATTGCAACCCCCCTATATCCAGCCATTTATACTCTGTGATGTGGTTGTTCCTATTGAAGTGAGTCCCTTCCTTATCCAAGGTGTGTCAAAGGACATCAGAAACAGGAGCTTTGATGACATTGGTGTCATTGTGCGAGACATATGGGATTGATTGCATAGCTGTGCGCAGGATGCTGATGTCTGTACAAAATCCTTCTGCGAAAGGAGGGCAGCATCACTGTAGGATTTCAAGTGCTTTGTTGATAACATCAGGTGCTCCAGGCTCTTGAAGCATTGCCTTCACACTTGCAGCAGTGCAGAACATCTCTAGCATAGTTCTTTCTAACTCCCCTGCAGAGTCCTATTCAATATGCTTCCCTGAATTTCCATTCTATGCTCACCAATCTTGTGGTTAGTATTGGCCTTCTGCAGGCTACCAATTATTCTCTCAAAGGGGAACATCCACTAGCTGTGCATGGGTCCGTATCTTAGAAGGAACTCATGCAGGTGGACACATGCGTGGTGATTAGGACGGAAGGAATGGCCTGGAAAGACATCTCAAATGCACTCCAGATAGGCCTTCATGTATTTTTGATATTGCTGAGTGTGATGTGGGGATGTTACATGTGATGTTCCCCATCGTATTGCCATCGCTAGCAGCATAGTAATGTGAGCTAATTTTGGCTCCATTCCTCTCCATCACCATACTTCGTCCCCCAAAGTTTCAAGAGTGTTACTGGTAAGTCAAATTCAATTGCTGTCTGCCATTGTTCTGCCTTGAGCTTACCGTGCTCTACATCCCCCAGATTCTTTGGCGGTCTGCAGTGCCATGAAGGTTGCATGATGCCACTTAGTTCTGCTTGAATTGCATTAATCTCCTGGTCTGTCAGGGCTTCAGCAGCTAGGCCCGTGGCCCTGTACTTCGACCACATATTCCTTCACCAGTTCCTCCATGACAAATGCTTTGTTATCCACTTCCATCCGATCATCATTGTTTATTGAGATACTGTAGGTGGGTTCAGCCTACTTATTGTCAATTAGATTTCTGGCAATTAAATATAAAAGCACACCAACAGCGCTTTGATCATCTTCTTTTTAGTGTCACAACCATTGCTTGACAATGTTATCCCTGCCTCTTGGACAAGAGCTTGTAGCACAGGCAGTCTTAAGCGGGTCATGGCGGAGGCGGTGCGGTTCGACTCCATGACTTTTTTGCCCTTGTCTAATTCCTTTGGATTGACAGGTCTTATATCTGGCTTCCTGATCGCCTTGCTTGCCTGTCTGTCTATAGTGATCAAATTTCTGAAATGGTGTTGCACCACCCTGAGGAAGAGGTTATGCATGCCGTCAACAACAACGAACCGCACTGGATCCCAGTAAGGCAGTTGTAGAAGCTCAGACCACCTCACTCCATGTCATCTAAAGATTTTGGTGTGTTCCGACTTTGTTTCTGCATTTTTCCATTCTTCTGTGGCTGCCCTGTGTTCCTCGCACATACATCATTTTTATTTGTTGTAGTCAAAGTTTGCAATGTCTGACTTGTTCAGCCAGAAAAGTCCACACATCTGATTTGCAGTGGGGCCTGCACATCCTGAGAGTTTGCGAGCCGCTGGTAGGTCGTTGATTGCCACCGCAATAACAGATCTCAAAAATCTCCCCTCGTCATGTTCATGGAGCCCCTTGAGTAACAAATTCTGTATTATACGGGTCACCCGACCTACATAATATCCCGTATAAGACAGGCCAGCGGACTATGGGCCAATGTGATGTATATCCCTGATGTTGATGGATGGGCCGGGGGGAATATTATTTCCGATGGAGATGGGTGGGCCCATCTATGCCAATGTTATATATATGCTCGATGATGTCGGATGGGCCAGGATGAATATTTTTACCGATGGAGATGGGTGGGCCCATCTGGGGAATATGTACAGTAGGATGGACATGTATATTATAGACAGCTAGGCTGAAGGGAGATGAGAGGCAATCATTATTATATAGATGGGTGGGCTGATGTAAAGGTACATTGTATAGACGGGTGGGCCGATGTATAGGAATTATTTTGTAGACGGGTGGGCCAATGTAAAGGTACATTGTATAGCCAGGTGGGCCGATGTACAGGAATAATTTTGTAGACGGGTGGGCCGAGAAAGCGGTGGAATATTTATTATATAGATGGGTGGGCTGAGCGAGCAGTAAAACATTTATTATATCGACGAGTGGGCCGAGAGTGCAGGAAATTATTTATGATATAGACTGGTGGGCCGAGGTAGGGAGATATTGTGTAGACGTATAGGCCAAGGTATTGGTTTACTATATAGATATATAAAGCACTTGTCTGACATGCATGGATCGCCAAGTCCCAATGCCCAAACATTGAATCCCATGGTACAACATCCATTTTTCAACAAGAAATCACTGTCTCGAATTCCAGATGCCCGATGACTGGAAGCTCCAGACTGGACACTAGATACTCGCAGGATGCGTGCCGATCCTAAAACCCTGGAATTCAGCATTGACTTATCGATTCACCGATTGCCGAGACCCGAGACCCGAGACCTGAGTGCCAAGTGCTGAGACCCGAGGCCTGAAACCTGCAACTTGAAACAAGTGGAAGACTAAATGTTGCAAAATTGTTGACATGAAAGTGTTACTCCCAGAACACCAAAATCCAAAACTCAATGGTTGAATCACTGAGTACCAAGTACCGAGTGCTGAGTGCTGATGCCCGAAACCCAAGGCTCGAAACACAACACTGGACACAATAAACCATATAGTATTTCTTACAAATTTCACAGGGGTCCCATTGCAAAACCATGAAACTTATCAGTGACTTATCAATTCACTGAGTGTCGAGACCCGAATGTCGAGTGCCAAGTGCCGATGCCCGAAACCCAAGGCTCGAAACACAACACTGGACACAATACACCATATGGTATTTCTTACAAATTTCACGGAGGTCCCATCGCAAAACCACAAAACTTATCAGTGACTTATCGATTCACCAAGTGCCGAGGCTCGAAGTCCGAAACACGAAATGAGTGGAAACCCACATTTCGCAAAATTGTTAACATGGAAATATTAGATTGTCTTCAACAGTTTGCTGGAAGTCCTTTGCCGATCCCCGAGCCCAAAACCCAAAACCCAGAAAACCCATAGAACTCATTATGGGTTTTCCGGGTTTCGGGCTTGGGGATTGGAAAATGACTTCCGGCAAACTGTTGAAGACAATCTAATATTTCCATGTTAATAATTTTGCGAAATGTGGGTTTCCACTCATTTCATGTTTCAGACTTCAAGCCTCGGCACTCGGCATTCGGGTCTCAAGTCTCGGCACTCAGTGAATCGATAAGTCACTGATAAGTTTCGTGGTTTTGCGATGGGACCTCCGTGAAATTTGTAAGAAATACCATATGGTGTATTGTGTCTAGTGTTCTGTTGCAAGCCTCAGGCTTCGGGCATCGGCACTTGGTACTCGGCACTCGGCACTTGGTACTTGGTACTCAGTACTCAGTGATTCAACCATTGAGTTTTGGATTTTGGTATTCTGGGAGTTACACTTTCATGTCAACAATTTTGCAACATTTAGTCTTCCACTTGTTTCAAGTTGCAGGTTTCAGGCCTCAGGTCTCAGGTCTCGGGTCTCGGCACTCGGTGAATTGATAAGTCACTGATAACAAAGGTAACATTGATTGAAAACATTGCATATACATCTATGACTATTTAATTATGTAGTCATGTCAACATCCTCACCAGAAGGTTCACCCTTCACTTGAACATCCATCTCTTCAACTGAATCATACTCTGGGAAAAGATTGCCTGGATCATCTGGTTTCACAATTTCGCTGGGCATCTGTGAAACCTCAGGATGAATTTGGTTGAGCTCAAATATGAGTCCATCGATGGCAGACTCATCCTGGAGGTTGGGGGGGGGGGGGGTTGGGCTCCATCCCTTCCATAGACAGGTCAATGAGAGGAGGAAGTGCGGATGCAGGGGTTGACATGGCCGGAGGGACAGGTTGATGAAGCAAAAATGATGTTGCATCACCTTGGGCATCCGGAAGTGGAAATGTTGGGTGCTGGAGGATGATTTCGCGTTGAAGGCCTTCATGAAGGCATTGCAGGGTGTCAATCTTAGTATCCTGCTCAACAACACGCTCCTCGAGAGCAGCAATTCAAGCTGCACCCTCCCGAATCAGCCATTGCCATGGCATGCAAATCCAGCATTGGCACATCGAGTGCCGAATGAGGAACTCCGGAAGTCGAAGATGGGACTGCTACAGGTGGAACATTATGTCAGATGGACATAGAAAATTCAGGTGACTTACGAGCTGGTGCAGGTGTAGGTTCCTTGGCAGCAGTGACAGTCTTGCTGCGACCACGTGTTTGCACCTTTGGTGTTTGGGCACGAGATGGACCAGGAGTGACGGAAGAGACCTGAGATTGATGGGCCGGTGGATTGCAAGGTGGCCGGAGCTTTGGAGGGAGCTTTGGAAGGGGTCCTGGATCTGGTCCTCCTGGTGGTCCGGGTGATGGATTGACCTCGAACACATTTCAGCGGGGTTCCCATACTCACGGAGATGCACTTGATCTTCTTGGTGGTGCAGTAGACGCAGGACATGCACAGGGGCGCTGGTCCTCTTGTCAAACCGAGTTGCGCAGGGCCATTCCATCTTGTGGCAAGCCTGGCAAGGGTTGTTCTGTGCAATCTGTCAGTTTATAGACACACCAAGTCTCAATAGTGTACTTACGGGTCCTGGAATGAGTATATCACCTGCGTCGATGACTGGGGTGCACCTCTACCAGAGGTTCAGGAGTTGCCTGAGGGGGCTCGATGACCTCCGGACGTTTGCTGGCAATTGCCTGGCACCTTGTAAGGACTCACCCGAGTGCTGGATGTAAAAGTGCAACTTACTGTAGCAGGCCCAAAGGGTTTCTTCTTCGGGCTCTGGGGTGACCGAGGTGATCCGGACATCCTTGCAACATCTGGGGAGAGCCAGGGGAGGACGACCTCTGGAACTCCACGCGAAATCGGCTACAAAATGAGTAAGACAATGAAACAATAAACCAGAGGACATACCTGAGTGACTGAGTCCTCCTCATCTTCCGACTCAACAAACACCTTGAATTTGGCAAGGCCAGAGCCCCTTCAGTGACTTCACCCTATCCTATAGGACAGCCCATGTTGACAATGCTCCCTACTTGTAGGGCCAACCCACCATGGGCCCATAGTAGATTAACTTCTATCTTCAGGGGTGGGCCCATGGGTGTAAGGATTCATTGTTGACTGTAATGAAGGGTAGGCCCATGGTTGATATAAATTGGTGAGTACATGTGACGGGTGGGCCCACCAAAGTAATGTATCTTTAATATCGGGTGGGCCCATGGTTGGATCGGCGAGTGGATGCCGGAAATTGCATGCCAGGAAATGGATGCCGGAAAATGGATGCCAGAAAATGGTTTGGGACAGGACATTGTCTCCCTGGCAAGTATATACAAGGATATGGGCTGCAGGGGTGGATATCAGGAATGAATCCCAGCAACTTTGTGTGAGCATCGGTGGCTGTATCCCTGGAAAACAGGTTCGGCCAATAAATGATATCAGGAATGCACCAGTTGTAGTATATTGGAATTGGGCAGTGCATCCTGGGATGCTGCTAAATATGCTTGTGAGGTTATTCTCCTGGTATTTATGAGAAAGTGCCGCCAATCCTGGTCAATATAGCATATAGCTTCTGTACATGCAATGCCGCTCACACCGGCACAGATTGCTAGCATACATTATAATTAATTTTGCCGCCCACATGCCGGACGCACCGTTCCCTGGCAACATTTTGTCCATGCATTGTTGTGAATGGCAATGATGGATGGCATTAATCATTACCATAGAATAACAATGCCGCAACAAATATAATGCCGCTCACACTGGTGCAGATTGCGCCAAGTTGATGAGCGTCTGGCTCGACAGACGACTTGGGCCGCCGTGCAAGGGCGCATTGCTGGTGCCAAGGGAATGCCCACTACACACTTGATAGCATGCACATGATTTTTGACCTTGCACCATCTACATCATTAGACATTGCAGCGGTGGAGATTGCGGCAGTAGACATTGCGGCGGTAGACATTGTGGCAGTAAACTGCATTGGTGGCGAGGCTTCTGTGGCAGATTGCCCGCCAAGTTGAGAGCATCTGGCTCGACAGACGACTTGGGGCGGTGACCCAAGATGGTGCAAGGTCAAAAATCCTGTGTGCACTATTGACTTTGTGTAGCGGGCCAAGTGTGATCTTATTCTGTCATGCAAATTCAATAGTTGCTGTGACCAAAGTATGTCCGCCAATCATGCCGCTCATGCCGGCACACATTGGCAGCATACATTATAATTAATTTCGCCGTGGAAGCACTGCAGATGTCATAATGCAGGCCAAAAAGTAGTTACCTGCGACAAATTTGACTCAACCTCACTGCCGCCATGACAAAAGGTTTGTGCACCACTTGCCGCACAGGCGGTGCATGATTACCGTAGTCTAAGTGCAGCAATTGATGTGTAAGGTGACCAAGACTGTACAAGGCCGACCACAGGTCAAAGGTGAAGCAGACTGTTCCCTGTGCATGTTAAAAGGAATAAGATACTTCATAGCACACTTGGCAGCTATTGCGCCACTTGCCGCACAGGCGGCGCATGATTACCACAGTCTAAGTGCGGCAATTGATGTGTTTAAGGTGACCAAGACTGTACAAGGCCACTATCAATACCCTCTATATTGTTCTCTACAAAAGCAGAAGTTATACTAACAGTACAGTACATTGAATTCATATATGCATACACTATAAAGTTTATTTATATGTAGTGGAAAAGTCTATATCAAAAATCATTCATGTACAGTAGATGCAATAGAAGCAGACTCTTCAACACCGCCAGTGTCTGGCGGCACCCCATCCTCTTGCAGGGCAGTGGTGACAGAGGGCGTCTCATCATCTTGTGGGACAGTAGAAGCAGCCGGTGCCTCATCCTCTGGCTGGGTGGTGGTGGCTGCCAGTGCATCTGCTGAATCTGTCCTCATGAGAACAGGAAGGGCTTCCTGCTGCAGGTCAGCGACTTGGTTGGCGAGCAGCTTCGCATTTGCCTCCTGCTCAGCAAGGCGCTGGTTGGCCTCCTGAAGCAACTGCTCACCAGCAGTTACCCTTTCCACCAAAGAGGCTACCATTTCTTGTAGCACCGCCAGATCCTCCTTGAGTGCCAGAACAGTCTGGCTGTCTGGCACAGGATCATGCATGGCACCAATGGGGGCGGTGGTTGCAGGGATGGCTGCAGTGGTGGTGGCAGCAATGGCAGGAGTAGCGGCGGGAATGGCGGCGGGAGTGGCGGCAGGAATAGTGGCGGGAGTGGCAGTGGCAGTGGTGGTGGTGGTAGTGATGGTGGTGGTGGTGGCAGCGACATCACCTTCAGCGCCTTCATCTGTGAACCGTCAGTATGATTAAGGACTGGGAAAAATAAAACATACTGTCAGCAACACCTGTTACATTTGCCGCAGGAATCCTGCGGCGAGACTTAGATCTGGCATGATTAGCGGCAGGTCTTTTGGTGGGAGGAGCTGATCCATTGCCACCACACTTGTATTTAGTGCGGTGGCAGCGGGTGCATACCGCCAGCGGCTCATGGTTGGCATTGTAGCCTTGGCGGCAAATGAACTGCCGCCGAACGCAGGGGCCACAGCCAGGCGACCAGACCGGCGAGGAGTGTCGGCGTTCTGAAACTCCTCAAGTCCAGAGGATGAGGCAGTCTGGCCGGTAACCTTTGGTGCGTGCTGTAATGCATCAGATTGAGATGATAATGAAAAGAAAAAACTCACTAGGACATCAACATACGCCATGCCCATCTTTAGCGCCGGACCAACAACCATGGGCTCTTCATCCAGCTCATCTATCTCCACATACTCGGGTCTCTTCTTGAGGACACCTTTGAGGTGCTGTTGAGAGGTGAGAAAGGATCAAAAATTGCAATGATTAACTTACCTTGTGTGCCGGTGCTGGTTGAGGCGCTGCTGCCGCATTGTCCAATTCCATGTCATCATCACTAGTGATTATGGCCTTGGACTTGGACTTGGACTTGGCCTGTTAGCGCTTAGCCTTTGGAGCAGTGCTCTGGCTCCTTGCACTCATGGCGCGGGGACGAGGACATTTGCTGCGCTCCAGTTGGCAGCCATGGTCATCAGTGGTATCCTCTTCAGGGACAGCCTTCTCCTTACCCTTGCCTTTTGAAGGCCCTGGGGTGGGTTGTGCAGGTGGAGGCGCTGGCGTAGGAGGGGCCGGTGCGCCATACCGAATGCTGAGTGGGTAGAGAGGACTGTTCTTGGCGCGGGGATCATCTGGATGAATGTTAGTCCAGACTGGCGTTGTTGCCACAGTGCAACAGGACACGTCCAAATTGGCGTGTATTTCTGCCGCCGCAGAGAGAACCATGGGCGGGACAGATGTTGCCTGCATGGTATAGGTATCAAACACATGATTCTATGTTAATGTCAGTAAATGGCAGTGTGAACATGAAAAAAAAACTCACCAGTGTTCTTGCCATCTCCATTGCAATGGGGATGTGGTTGGGATCACCAGCATCCAACTGCAGGGCTTGACCGAGCAGGTGCTCGATCTTGTCGCCTGTGTTTCGGAAGCCGGCGTTGGCAGCAGCAGTAATGGCAGTGAGTTTGGAAGACGTCGGTATAATGTGTGTAGAGGATGAGTGAAGTGTATGAAGAATGGCGATGGAGTGATTGAACCTAAGCAAAGTGTGATGTGGACTTAGTGGACCTTTGGTTGTGGTTTATGTCATCGACTTCCTTATTTAGCACATTGTTCAATGGACTGGTGTTGGTCAATCCACTGTGGATCTCAAATGACATAACAGCTGCTTTTGTTATGCCGTTTCATTAATTGATTAATTGTTACGACTTGGATGGTATCTGTTGGCGACGCTCAAACAGAGCGTGTGTTGTCAACGGTCGAGGACGTCCTTGGGCTAGCCCAAGGTTAGGGGTCGTACTTGGCGGGTCTTCGGCAAGTACGATTTGACGCCTATGTCCAAATCGGGTAGCTTATGTCACGTGGGTGCGAGACAATAAGCTATATTGGCCTAGGCTTACGACACCCGAAGGTTAATCGTAAGGATCGTCGTTAATTAGAAGGACAGAAGTCCGACTAGTTAACAGGGGCTTTGCTCGTCGATGAAGTCGATGAGTAAAGGTCGAGACTATAGGCTTATCCGTGATGAGCAGATAAGAAGATAGAATATAGACTGCTGGCGAGGCAGAAAGGATCACTCAGTTAAGAGTAGGAGGTCAAGAACCAAGTAGATTCAAGTTAGGGAATATGGTACATGGTAGCGAGTTTATATAGAGGACAGGAGACATATTAGTGGATGATAACTCGTACTACCGGGAGAGGCAGTCGGTAAAGGGTAAGACCATAACAGGAAGGTACGTTCGGTCTAGGTAGAACGTGCTAGATAAGAAAGTGAGTCAAAGATCGAAATAAGAAGTGAAACGCGCAGGGGCACGATCGTGCAGCTGCGGATCTAAGTATAAGTTGCATGTGCGACTGCGCACCGAGTCAGAGATCAGAAAAGGAAAAAGGGTAAAGGGGATGCATCGTGCATCAGATCATAGGTTACCGTCCGGACGGTAA